TGTGTTAATGGTAATTGGTGACCGGAATCCAGTTGATACCTACCAATAGATTACATAGCAGAGTCCGTAACTGCATGAAGATGTCTTTAATACAGTTTATATTTTTCTCATAGAGCGTTTGACTGTCCCAAATTCAGTCTTTAAGAATCATTTGCATTTTTTTATCTTTCTTGGATGAAAGAACTGTTTTTCTCAACAGAATCTTTAAAGCAATGTATGATTACTTTTCATTTCTATTTCTAAAAGAATATTTTTAACTATCTCTTTTGGTAATTTCTTAACCGTAAATTAGTTTGGTATATGAGTTGACGAAAAGTAGACCCTACATCAAGTAAATTTTGATGAATTATTGTTAGGTGCTGTCGAGTTGCCTGAGAGACTCATAGCGACCTTTTGTACAACAGCTCTGAAGCCTTCCTGTCCTGAGCCAGTCTCACTGACTCCAACACACCTCCCCCTGTTGTCCTAGTTACTGTATCAATCCATCTCATCTGGGGTCTTCCTCTCCTGCGCTTTCCCTCCACCCTTCGAGCATGATGTCCTTCTCCAAGGACTGGTCCCTCCTGGCCACATGCCCAAAGTATAAGGGACGGAGCTTCAAAATCCTAGCCTCCAAGGAGAAACTTGATTTCACTCTCTCCAAGAATGACCTATTTACTGAACTCTTCTCCAGCACCACAAGTCAAAGACATCGATTCTTCTCTCATCCTTAGTCACTGTCCAGCTCTCTGATGCACAGCAAGTAATTGTGAAGACCATGGCCTGGATCAGGTGCACCTTCGTCTCTAGACTGACATAGTTGCTTCTCAGCACTCTAGAGAGGTCCCCGAAAACAGATTTTCCCCAGTGCAATTCATCTTTTGACTTCCTGGCTACTGGTGCCAAGAATGTTGACTGTGGAGCCATGCAGACTAAAGCTGTGAGCGATCTCAATCTCTTCGCCATCCATCCTGACGCTGCCAATTGGTCCAGTGGTGAGAATCTTTGTCTTCTTGACATTGAGCCTCAATCCATATTGAAGGCTGCAGTCCTTGACCCTCTGCAGCCAGCATTTCAGGTCCTCCTCAGTTTCAGCAAGCAGGGTTGTTTCATCTGCATCTCATAGGTTGTTGATGAGTCTTCCTCCAATCCTGATGCATGTAGAGTGTAAAGGTGTGGAGACAGGACACATCCCTGGCGTGCTCCTCAGTTGCCCTTGTATGACCAAATCAAGCTTCCCCATGGGGTACCCCAAGCTGTAATCTTCACAGAAACAGACTGTCTCATCTTCCTCCCTGGGAGCAGCTGGTGAATTCAAGCCACAGACCTTTCGGTCAGCAGCTGGATACTTATCCGCAGTGCTGCCAGGTCTTCTTAAAAGCAGACCGTGACTGTTGTGTGTTGTCGAGTCAGAACTGACTCCTAGCTGACCCTCTAGCAGGTTGGGAGATTGCCCGTCCTCCTCCCGCAGAGCAGCTGGTGGATTTGAACTCTGTGCCTCTGGGATTGCAGTGCAGTTTCCTACCGCTAGGCCGCCAGAGCTCCCTACGTGCAGACCTCAGCCATTTCTGTTCATGTTCCATTGCAGACACTTGAGTTTATGAAGCCCACTGCCACAAGGAGATTTAGTGATTGTCGTTCCAGGTACTTTGTGAGGAGCTTGTGCTTGTGATCGTCCCAGAACAGGATGGGCAGTGCCAGATTACGGAAGTATCTAAACAGCAAGGCCTGTGGAAAGTTGGTGGCTGGCCGAGCGTCCCTCACGGGTGATGCTCACTGGAGTGGTGCACGAGTTACGTAGCTCCTGATGCTAGAATGAAGCGCGTTGGCCTGTCAGAGGCACAGCTGTCAGCCGGCTGTTCTTTCCTTTCAGCTTCAATGTCGCGCTGTGGCCCGTGTGGTCCTTCTTCACGCCTGTGCTGCTCTTCACCCAGTTCATGGGGGTGGCAATGCTCATCTCCCTCCTGGGCTGAGTTCCGAAGGTAAGTCTCCGGGATGGCGTGGCCAGCAGTCCCCTCACTTGCGGGATGTCTCCAGGACATGTTCAGTGGGCTTGGTTGTCACAGACCACTCAGGACGCTCTGTTCCCATTCAAGCTCTCTGTCCCCTGTGCTCTGTGATTAAAGGGAATGGAACTTCCTTCCTTGTCATAATTGTGCACTGAGTGATGACTCTTTTTTTTAAAAAAAAATTATTATTCATTTCAATGAAAATTTACAGAGACTCTGGATTTTCATTCATTCATTGTTGCACTTTTCTCCCATCCCAGCCCTCCACCCTAGTACATACACTACCTATTCTTGGAAAAGTAAAAGACAAATTCTTTCATTGTTTTACAATCCTTCCCCCCAGGTCCACTCCACTATGCAGCCTTCGCTCTGGACTCCTGTCATGACAAAAATACCTAATCACATATCCCTTTTGAACAGTTTTCTCTCTCATCTGTTTCATTGCAGTATACATTATTGAACCCATCTTTCTCAGTCTTGCCCCAACCCTGATGTCAGTCCTGTTTTACAGCAGTGGCACCATTCAGTATTTGTCCTTTTGTGACTGAGATACTTCCCTCAGCATAATGTCCTCCAGGGTCACCCATTTTGAATAATATTGCATGAGTTCCTTGTTTTTCAGCGCAGCATAGTATTCCATTGTGCGAATATACCACAGCTTCTCTATCCATTCGTTTGTTGATGGGCACTTAGGTTGTTTCCAACTCCTTCCTATTGTGAACAAAGCCGCCATAAACATGGGTGTGCATATATCTGCTTGGATGTCAGTTATGGTCTCTTTAGGGTCTATTCCCAGTAGTGGAATTGCTGGGTCAAATGGTATCTCTGTTTGCAACTTTTTGAGAAAGCGCCACACCACCTTCCACAGTGGTTGCACCATTTTACACTCCCACCAACAGTGAATAAGGGTTCCAGTCTCTCCACAACCTCGCCAGCATTTGTTGCTTGCTGTTGTGTTAAATTTTGCAGTTCTGACTGGGGTGAGCTGATATCTCATAGTTGTTTTGATTTGCATTTCTCTTAGAGTTAGGGATTTTTAACATTTCTTCATGTGCTTGTTAGCCATCTGAATGTTGTCTTTGGTGAAGTGTCTGTTCATATCCTGTGCCCATTTTTCAATTGGATTATTTACCTTTATCTTGTTGTGGTGCTCAAGTATTTTATAAATTCTGGATATACGTCCCTTATATAACTGACATGTCATTACCAAGTACTTTTTCCCACTCTGTAGCTTCCCTTTTTACCCTGTTGGAGCAGTTTTTGGATGTGCATAGGGATTTGATTCTTAGAAGGTCCCATTCATCTATTTTATCTTCTCCTGGTTGTAGGGTGTGATGACTCTTTTGGAAGGTGCCCTGCCCTTCAAACACCTCAGCCATACAGAATTTATTTTGTTTATTGAATAAAGTTTTCTTTTTTAAAATGTACAGTTGGTTGGACCAGTTCACGCGTCTTCACGAGCAGCTGGGGCATTGTCACCCTTGGTTTCTGTGGTGTAAATTACTTGAGCTCTTGTTTGGAAACCTGCTTGATAACGTTCTTTACTCTGCAGCTCCCAAAGCGTGGCCATGGCCAGGGAACCCCGAATCTTCAGTCTTTCAGAGACAACAGCCGGGGTTACAAGCCCAGGGTTACAGTTTGTCACATGTGGCTTTGTCAGCCAGCACTACTGAGCTCATCCTGAGCTGTGCCTTTTTTGTTTACTGGACCTTTGTCCCTTCTTGGCCGACTTTCTGGCATCTTTCTTTTTCTTGTCCTTGTGCGGCATCGTGAAGCTTGGAGAGGAGCCACCACAAGCACAGCCTTGTTAAGATAACGGACCAGAATTTGTACTTTCCGCACAGAGGCACGTTCACACATTAGAGCTTTGTCTGTTAAACTTTCATCCCCTTAGATGAGAACTGCAGGCGGCCGGATTGCTCCTAAGGAGTGGGTCTGTAGAAAGAACAAGGACAACACAGGGATGGTCATCTCTGATCTCCACCAACTCCACAGGCGGAGCTGCCCCATCGTCATGCCCGTGAGGTCACACATGTCTCCCGTCCCGCCCCTCCTCCTCCTCAGCACAACACCAATCCTACTGCTCTACTGCGTCCAGAGTCTGGTGCAGTAGCTCCCAGAGAACGTGGAGCCGTTCTCATGATAGGAGGTTTACTGTTGTTAGATGCCGTCAAGTCAAGTACGACCCATAGCGACCCTGCGAGCCCTGTCCTCCCCGTGCCGTCCTCACCCTTCCTGACACGCTTGCTGCAGTCACTGTGTCAGTCCCCCTGGTCAGGGGTCTTCCTCTCTTTCGCCGACTCTCCACCTTGCCAAGCGTGATGCCCCTCTCCAGTGAATAGCCTCTCTTAGCAACTTGCTCAGAGTTTGTGAGACAAAGTTTGATTGTCTTTGCCGCCAGGGAGCACGCTGGCTGCACTTTGTCCAAGGTGGTGATTTATCAGTGAAGCTAAAAGGCTGTTGTTCAGGTTTGGTAGCAGAATCCAGCAGTCAGGACAGCTTCCTGAATATGCTCCCGGCACCTCAGCCTTCAGCCCTGGGATCCAAGCCCGTGTTACAGTCACGGCTTTCCCCCCACTGTCCACCAGCACACGGTCAGCGCGCCCAGCTCAGCTCTGTCCCACGTCAGGGCTCCGGCCGCTGCTGCTCCTGTGGTCCTGCTCTGACCCTGAGGGCGTGCACCGCATTCCTGCTTCACCTCTGCTGGTGCGGAGCTTGTCAGCTCTGAATCTGATCAACATATGGCGAGACTAACTTAATGAATAGACTAACACTGTTAGCCTAGTCCTGCCCACCCACGTGGCAGAGTCAGGCTAGAAAAGGCATTTTGAATAATCGATCGTTACACCTTAGGGGAGAATAGATCATTTTCTCCAATTAGGGAAGGAAAAACCCCAGCTATTTTCCACCTCCCCTGCTGCCTGTGATGTTCTCCCTCCTTGCTGTTTGTGGATCTTCTTCCTGCCCTGCTGCCCCGCTGCCCTGGCGCCCTGGCTCCTTGGTGTTGGTGTTTGCGGATCTTCCGCCTGCCCCGCT